GGTACACATACCCAAGTATAGTTTCCGTTCGTGCGGCTGGTAAATTTCGTGAAGCACACCTTCTGATCGTTCCGACCGAGATGCAGGAGTGGGATGATCTGCATTGTGAATTGGCTAGGTTCGTTTTCTTGAGTCTCTCATCAACGGCTATTCATCCGGAAGTACACCACGGGGCAATTGGGCTCGCCGTTTGACGGTCAGAAACGACCGTCAAAAGCCCAGTTTTCCTTGGTGGTGGCCGGCCGCCGAAAGATGGTCAGTGGAAAGGCGGTCTTTCAGCTGAGCTTCGCTGGCGGCCGGCATCTGGGCAAACGGCGATCGTTGACCTATCAAGCGGCCGGCTTTGAGCTCGTCCAGATTGCTCAAGCCAGCTCTTGATAGGTCGATCGACCAGCAGATGGCTGGTCGATTCAAGGTCTCTAGCCGGTCTTTGTGGATCGCTAGGGTCTGATAGCCCATATTGGCTCCAGTTGCTCGCTTTTGGATTGGATCGAATTGATTTAAACTTGTAATTCAATCACAAATGTGATTTCAATTAAAATTGTAATGTACATATCGTAATGCTCATAGATTACAAAAGGATAATAAAATATTTTTAAGAAAATTACATATTTAGAATGCATGTGGATAAATATCGGGACACTGAATGTTAAGTAAAAGTTGCTCAGGCATCTGTAGGGGGATGTTGGGGTAAGGCAGCAATGGCTGCTTCGACTTGTGCTTCGGTTGGAAGTTTGTAATCACTGAGTTTTGAGTTTTTCAAATCTTCGGTGGTGTTTTTGCCATCGAAGAGTCGCTTATCTTCATCGATGATCAGCTTATGGAAGCTGGTAGATCAATAAACGATCAGTATGATTGAAAGTGTTGAAAATTTGACATAAGGGTACTCACGCTTCGGTATAACGAGGTCCTTTCGATCGTAGTTGGCCAAGTTGAGCATCGGTGATCTTCCAGATCGAAGAACTACCTAATCCTGAGGTAGAAAGCTCAAGAAACACGGCTTCCATTCGCTGAAGACGAAGCCGAGGCAATGATGAGGAAGCTATACTGTATGTACATGGGTTCGAGTGAGTTAAGAAGCATGTACCAAATACGCATAGCGAGACTTCTTAGCCAGGCCAGCACTGTTTAAGACCTCAGAGTCGGTAGCAGTTCGTTTTCCAGGACCAGGGTAATCAGCCATCTGAAAGTCATTCAGTTCAGAGTTATCAATATCTCAATCTAAAAAGGGTAAAAAGAGATTTACTTACCAATACAAGCAATTTGTTTAGCGTCGGAAGCGCAATCGCAGTTGAGCCATGTTTTGAATTACAATTTTGAAGAAGCTAAAGGAATGGAATGGCTGTTGAGTGAGAGTCCTTTAAGAGTTGTTCGTTAAGTGAATTTCACATACGATGTGGTGTAGGTTTTCACGACCGATTTTACACTTCTTCTTGATGACAGCAACAACGTCTTTGTGTGTTCGAGTATGATTTCCAGCACGGACTTCTGGTAAGTTGGTGTTCTTCCAAGCTTCTGACTGTTGTTTGATACGGTCCTGATTGTGGCATTCAAGAAAGAGATGATTTCAGTACAGCAGATCAAATTGAGTAATGAAAGCAAGGAAACCTACACTAACAAGCTCCTCAAGTGAGTGAGTCAGGGTTCCTCTCTGGCCTTGCATGTTAAGAATGCCTTCAGTATTGGTGTAGGCTTGGAGCTCTGGAGAACCTATGAAATCGAAGACCGCGTCTGCCAGCAATTGCTACAATACAAATGGAAAAGATTAACATCAGTAATAAAGCAGATTAAAAAGTTGATATACCTTGAGTGCCTCCTTAGGTTTCCACGGTGGAAGAGTTGGAATCGGAGTGGGAGTTGGGTTTGAATTTGTGTTGTTTAGTGAATTTGTTGAAGGCTGTGATGATGAAAGCTGTTCAATTTGGCGAGTGAGATTCTGATAACACTGAGCTGTAAAGACAGTCAGAGCAATCATGTGAGAATCATTACCCATTCTCTGATGATTGACACAAATGGTGGAGATCAGTGCATGTTTGAATCGAGTGGAATTCTAAATGATCGGGGTGATAAGATGAATAAAAGATATAAAAATCACTTACATTACTGACCAAACGAGCATCCTTGAGGATCTCAGGTTCCAATCCAGCTTGTTCTGCAAGTGTATCAAACACAGGTATTGCAGTTGATGAGTTTGAGATCGAATCAAATTGATTTCCTAGTTCAGACATTGGACGTGGGGGGAGGAATCCGGAAAGATTATAATCCAGTTGACTTTGTTCAAAATTTTGGGTGTCTGTCATTTGCTGTTGGTGGTCAGATGGCCCAAGACCTCTGTTGGGGTTTGGATGTCGATTTGGTAATGATAGGCCACTCTGGCCTCCTTGGTTGTTTGAACTTGAGAAACTGGTTCGATTAAAACCACTGCTGGGATGAGAGTTTTGGCTTCCACGAGTTGGATAAGGGTTTGGACCTCTCTGCATTGATGTAAGAGTCTTGAGGAGTGAAAGCTGGTGATGTTGATTGATGGTGGAAGCCAAAAGGAGTCTGGATAAGGACTTTACCATGAAGTTCATCACGCATTTACCTTGTATTGTCATTAACTTGTGACATCTTACAGTGACACATGATTTATTTTACACAAGATCTTCCCATCTTAACAAAGTTGGCAAAGGCAAAAATTGTGATAACACGAAGAAGGCATTCAATAAAATTGGAGTGCTTGGAATCAAAATCAACAGGCTATAGCCTCGAGTAGATCCATTGATAATATACATTTGGGATAACAAGGTGCACCAACAGATTAATAAGATATTACTTTTTCTGTTTCCTTTTCTTTTCTTCCTTCCACGTATCTAATCCATTTTCAATGGCTTGACTCCACTTGTCCGGCTGGACTGCTGCCATATGTATAGCAGACAACCGCCGATGGAGTTCAGCTGAGTACAAAGACGCAGAGTTCAGAATATAGGACGGGTTCTGATTGTGAATAATCTGATGCAGTGGGATGGTTGTGTCTTGACGTTCCACTTGTTTGAATCGTGTAGAGCCCACTCTACACTGAGCATCGTGACAGTTATGCTGAACATTGAGCATGGTCTTGAGCTCCTGTAACCAAAATAATTTTGAGAAATGAGTCTCGATGTATTAAAGCAGTCGAGTTCAAGTGGAATAACCTACGGTTGGCTTGAGGAACGCTGAATTGTCAGTTTTGAAAATCTCACGCATGGAATAAAATGGATGAATTTCTCCTCGATGACATTTTTTCATCTCGATCAGACAAGCTGAAGGTTCCTTGCCTGCAGGCTTCCACATACTCTCAACATATGCAATAATGTCATTAGATGATTGACCGACCGGTTTCACCTGAAGAATGCAGTAATGAATCAATCAAAATGTCATTTGAAGGTACAAAAATTTCACAAACCCATAGAAAAGTGCCGTCTTCAACCTTCTGGTCATTAGGTAAGATCAGCTGAGTAACACGCTCCCACTTGTCATTTTCATGACTTCCAGACAGGAATGTTGGAAGACCATCAGGCGCGGTCTCAGGATCTTTGTTGCGTTGAACTGATTGGAGTCGAAATGATAGATGTGAGCATTTACATCTATCTCTGTCATAATTCAAAATTAAAAAATTAAAATACCTTTCACGCGAAAGCTTTTCTTCATGTTCCATGATGTATTCATGCCAAGCGAATGTTGTAGACGTTTGTTGTTTGCAAACAACTCCAAAACTTTATCCCCAGCTGAAACCCGTTGATTGAGCTTTGGATCAAACCACGTCCCTCCCGAGATAATGTGAAGAATTAATAGATAGCTGTTGAAAGCATCTGCAATATCGCGTCCAGGTGCCTGCCGGTTTGAGTGAATTGAAGCCGCTCGTAAAACAGCATTAAAGCTTTCGAAAATCTCAGTAGCAAAGAGACATGAAGGTCCAAACCATTTGATTGAATGAGGTAAATGTGTGAGCATATGAAATTTTGGTTTATTTGTCCAGCGTGCATTTGATCCAACAAGACAGACTAATAAGTTGTCAACTGCATTTTGGAGTTCAATCAAGTATTGGTCAATATCTGAAATCTCGTTTTGGAAAATGAATGAGGCCAAATGAATAAGAGCGCTCCAAAAATCTCGTTTTTCTTTACCGATTTCCTCAAACAGCACAAAGGGGATAGCTTGCATGATCATTCGATACTCCTTTCCAACAAGACTTTTATAATATTTAATCAATGTTTCCGGGATAATTGGTGGTATATTTAAGCCTTTTGTATCGAAAGATTCCCATCGAGCGGATATAGCAGAGTGCCGAGTTGTACCGGGCTTGAGAGGCGAGAGCTCGGTCATCAATTCTTGCCACGGATACTTCGCCACTCCCAAAAGATAGACATGAAGTGCCTCAACTGGTGTATCGTGGTGCCCGTTGGAACCTACATAAGATTTGGTTCAATTTAGCATTCATAGAAATTAGAATAAAATAAGTAATTCATTACCGGGTAGCCGAAGGAATGGATTATAAACCCTTGAGCCTAGTTCTAAATCGAGATCTTGCCAAAATGCATGAGCATCGTTAGGACTCTTGGTTTCAAAGACTTGTACAACTTTATTCATCAACTTTTCATTCAACGTATCACGAATCCCATGTAAACGACGAGCTTTTGTAATTTGATCTTTTGCACGTAAATCACTACCTATTTTCCAGATTTCTGCCGTTAAGGATTGTGTCTCCTTCCAATCACGAAATGCAAGAGAGTGCTGTAAAGTTTGAAACAAAGATTAGTTGATTGTGAACTGTCTTTGGTAAGAAATAATCGTTTCAAAAATTCACGCACATGCTCAAAATTCTCATCAAGACCTACAAATTTTTGAACATAAGACGTAGTTGTCTTTTCGTCTTTGGTATCCACTCTAAGATTGCATATTCGACATGGGGTAAGAGTGATTCCCGGATTGATACAATTACATATTTCGGCGTGCATCGGCGAATCTCCAAGGTAGCATAGTACTACAACCATTACTAAAACCTCAGCGTCAACTTCACCATCGTATGCTGAGAAGCCTTCAGTCGCAAGGGCACTATAAAAATGATGATAGTAAATTTCAAAATTCTATTTCAAGAAATAATCAAATTTAAAACAACCAAACTCACGTAAGCTCATCAACAATTGGTTCACCAAGTTCAAGCGCACTTGCAACATTTGAAGTAGCAGCATAATGAATATTATAATCTTGATTTGATAACTTTGTTGGTAAACCACTCAGAGTATAATAGAACGACATATGACAGTTATACTTTTTTGATTTATTTCCTGATGTATCGTCTGAGTATAAGGTGATGGGGATGTGGCGAATCAATCTCCCGTTAGCCTTCTTTCTCCATGGATTTTCAATCGGAATTGTTAGGAGTCCATCCGGGCTTGATTCTAGAAATATAGAAAAAACAAATTATAATTTGTCCTGTTCAACAAAGAGCTTTAGAAGACTCACGATACATAAAAGGTCCACATATATCCTTAAGCTTGATGTGATTTGGACCCAGTAACTCTATTGAAGCAAGCGGACGCCAGAAATCATTCACATTGATAGTAAAAAGTAATGTAGAGGAGAATTCGGGCTCGGCATAAATAGCAATATCAAGACCTCGACCGTCGATTTTTTTCACGATTGTTGCCTTCAAACATTTTGAAAAATAATTATCACCATCTTTATAAAAGAAGATTGGAATAAAGAGTTCGAACTCGGCTGAAGAAAGAAGTTGAAGTGGTTCATAGATATAGAAATGACCACGTCGAGTTTCAATCATTGGTGTACGATATTCTTTTTTGAAGCCTTCTCTCCACTTCTTAGATTGTGATAGTCGATTTATTGGGGTGTTTGTCGCAAGCTCAGGAATTGTAATTAAATGAGGTCTGATGTGCGGATTCGCCAAGTTCTATCAAACATGAATTTATTCAATCAGTACCCAGTTTTTCTGAAACATCCAAACTGAAATACTCACCAGAGTAATTGCTTCTTTGATTGGTAACACAAAGCACGGATTTCCTAGCGCACTCTGTGTTTTTGTAACTGTCAACCCCATTTTCTTTTTTAGATCCTTTCTCAAGGTACGTAGTGTGGCCCAGACAGGTAGATTGACGTGACATATAGTCAAGATGTCCCTAATCTTGTTGTATTGCTCGCGTGACATCACATGACGAGTAGTGCCTAGAAGTAGCATCCCAACAAGATTCTTCAAATAATTAAAAAAATGTGTCAGTGGAATTGAAAATGTAGAGTGACTGTTGATGCGAAAGGGATGAGGTATTTGATCATACCTCCTTCTTTTTGAAAGGATACCAGTCCTCCGATTCATAATCATCGTGCTCAATATTATCATTATCATATTCAATTTCATCCTCTTGCTCCTCTTGTCCTGGATTATTGTCATCGATATCATCCTCATCTGGACCGAGTCCCATATTGTAAAGAGCATCCCAGATCAAGTCTGGCCTCTCTTCAATAACAGACTCGACTTCAATTTCATCATCAGCTGGGTTTGCGAAGAGGCCCGAGTCGTCTTGATCCCACATCGAGATTGAGTTTGAGCGCGCAGGAGGCTGTTGTTCGACTTCCGGAGAAAATTGTTTGGCGTCATCAGTCTTGTTATTGCTGGCTGTCCAATCCATTCCTTCAATGGCGCCAGATCCCGATGCAGTACTGATAAGAGCTGGATTTAAACTTGTCATTCCTGCTTGACGCTCCTTGTCTCGAGCTACCATGTCTTTGTGGTGTTGTCGCGCAGCATGATCAAGGTACGACTTGAAAGGCTTCTTTCCACAGACAATACAACTGTACTTTGGTCTGTTAGGGTCTCCGGACAAGTCCTCAAAGTCTATAACAAAGTCAGCCTCGCTGATTTTCTAAATCAAAAGTAAGAGACGACTAGACCTACATTCCGCTACGATTGGGTACGCATGTGAAGCAGACATTGCGAAGAAACGGTAAGATGATCACTCAACCGAATGAAAAACAAGAAAAAATATGAAGGAGAACACTCGCAGTCGATTCAAGATGAACTTTTGAATTTCTCGATGTCAAGTCCAAAGGGCTCACAGACTAACTTAACAAAGTCCCTCGATGCTGCGACAGCTGTCATTCAAGCAAGTTGAATCCGCATGTCGCAGCATGAGGGACTTACACCTAATGTCTGCTTTTCGGCCTGAGGGCTAAGAATATTGTTGCGGGTGGAATCTTATTTATCCCTTCAATGTGTGCACACTGAGGAACATCGACCCTCCTTGGAATCAGACATGCGGGAGGTCTGGCTACACATCGTACAAGTCGAACCATCACCCTCCACCATTTACTTCTCGAAATATTCAACAAGGAATTGGTGTTGTCTTTATATGTAGCTACATTAAGTCAGGGGACTTATTCCCATTGCAGAGCTAGCAAGCTTATTTTGGCGGATGACAGCATTAGGTATCCCACTCCCTCGGCTCAGCAACTCTTCCCACTTCCTCCACGTGCGGGATAGGGTTATGGCTTTACAAAAATCATTACTAAAGACATTTTCAACTCATTTCCCAAATATCTCGAGAAGGAATGGGCGGATGTCGATGATTCGACTTGTACAATGTGTAGCCAGACCTCCCGCATGTCCTATTCCAAGGA